CGGTACCGGCCTGCTTTTGTGTGGTTCACATTCTCACCCCTGTTGCCGCCCTGAGGGAACTGAGACCGAGGGACTTAGTGGCCGCCTCTGGAACCCGGGTCTTGGAGTGCTGCTCATGGAGTGACCAGACTGAATGGTGTAAGGGTGTCCAGGGTACGCCTCACTCAGATGCTTCTGGACCGTCGAAATTATCTCCTTTGGAAAGAGCCATCCCCTCTTTGGGCTTCAGAGGCCCAGACTGAGGCGCAATGATGAGAGGATGTGGTGGTCCACTCTGATGTCAATCTTGAGGGCTAGGTATGTCCTAACTCTTATTACTGCTATTTATTATAATAGCTGCCGTATGTCGAGTATTTATTGCATGCCAGGCACTGCGCAAAGGAGGTTACATACAGGGGCTCACTTAATCTTCAGAAACAACCTTGTGAGGTAGGGACTCTTGTTATCCCCATTTTCCAGGTGAAGGCATTGAGGTTCTGGCTTATAAAGAACTAACCTGAGATCACACTGCTGCGAAGTGTTGGCGAAGGAGACCCGAAGTGTGCTCCATCGTAACCATGAGGCTCTTGCATCTGTTTAGAAGTCTGTCTTTCATAAATTTGCCCAACCTCTTTTAGACTTCATTTATACATTCTGCCTATGTGGCTTTTTTATTCATTCTTTTTTTTTTTTTTTTTTTTTAGTATGTGAGAAGCAAGTTCATTGTAGTAAAAAAAAAAAAAATCAGAAAATTCACACGAGTAAAAATGTGAAAAGCAGCTCCCAACATGTTAAATAAACAGTTAACATTTTGCTATATGCTTCACAGACATTTTCCTATGCATCAATAAATATAGAGTCATTTTACATTTGGTGTACCCTGAACAATGTATTTACTCATTCAACAAATATTTACGTAGCAGACATTGTTCTAGGTGCTGGGAATTAAGCAGTGAACAAAATAAAGTCTGCCTTTTATAACAGTGGGGGAGGTTGACAATAAGCAATACGAGAATACATTACTAAATAATATATAATGCCCAGGAATGGGGCAAGTTTTATGGGGAACAGTCAGGGTAAAGGGATGAGCGATGTGGGGATGCTCTTTTAGATGGGATAGACAAAGACAGCCTCTTAAGGGAAGAGCCCACAGGCAGAAATTAATCATTAGATGAGGGAGGCAGCTATGCGGCTGGCGTTCTAGAGGGAATCTATTCTAGGAGAAGAGAAACGGTGATTGCAGTGGCCCTAAGATAGGGACTTGGTTGGCGTGTTATAGGAGAAGCAGCTAGGAGAGCAGCGTGGCTGGAACACGCCAAATTAGAGAGCAAGTTGGGAAAGACAGGCAGAAGCAAGATCATGCATCATCTGATAAGCCACGGCTGGACTTTGGACTTGATTGGGATATGACAGAATACCGTAGAAGGGTTGAGAGCCAAGGAATAATCAGGTTTGCTTGAAAAGGGTTGCTCTAGCTATGTGGCCAACAGATGATAGAAACATTAAAATTGCCCTATAAAACATAAATTGCCCCTCCCACAGCAGTTGTTCAACAGATAGTGTGTTAACACTGGTGTTTTACCCACACCTTTACAACCACTCTCAGATTCTCCACAAAGAGGAGATAGAGTCAAACACTTAGGACTTATCTTCATGTCTTTTTCACCTACACTGAATTTTGTTGAGACTGGCTAGGGCATATATCCAGACCTGGACATCGTGATTGTCAACAGCCTGAATATGAGTTACCAGTGTGCTATGGTGGAGAAAACAGCCCCACATAATACTGGGGTCTGTTCATTAAAAACATTGCATTTAAGCACCTGAAAATCACCCTTCCTCTTCAATTGACGTTAGGCCCTCATTTGAATCCTAAGCCCCAGTTTAGACATTGTGCTTAACAAAGATGTGGAGAAATGAAAATGCACAGTGAGAAGGATAGCACCCATTAAGGTAGCGCTCTTCTGGGTTTTTGCCCTTAGGAATGTAAGGATAGTGATATCGATATGACCAGCTGGGGAAGGTGGAAGACCAGTTGAAGGAAAAGAGATTTGGAAGGAAATAAAAGTTCTGTTTCATATCTGCCTTTTGCATTCTGAGTGAAAATGACATATATGAGTTTAGAGCGCAGAGGAGAGGCCAGAGCTAAAATTGTATAATTGCATTAGAATTGTTTCTTGGAATGTGTGTCTTCTCTAGACAGAGCTTGAGGACAGACACTGTGTCTTTTCTTCTTTGTAACCTCAGTGCCCAGAAGTGCATCCTGGACGAATATTTGTGAAATGAGCAAGTAAAGGCAAAGGTATGGATGAAGTCACTCAGGCAAAATGTATAAGGTAAACAGAGAAGATATGCAATCTATGCTTTCACTGGAGATTCAAGCACCTGAACATGACTTACAAGTAGGGTAACTATAAGTTCCAGTTTGCTCAGGACAGTCCTGGTTTACTCCTGTTGTCCCCATGTAATTAGTAATATTGTCTCATTTCATTCTCAGAAGTGCCTCAGTTTGTACAATAAATTATATGGTCACTCTTTGTAGAGCGCCCTTCAGGGTCTAGTGTCTCCCTGTTTCTTTGTCATCACTGCCCCATCTCACACTTCATTCCCTAGACAGACAGAAGTACCTCAGTTTTCCCTTATGTACTCTCTTCCTTCCAGGCTTCCTTTGCCAAGGCACTTCCACTTCAATTTAGACATCACTTCCTCAGGAACATCTCTCTCGGCCCCCAAGTCTGAGTTAAGTAGACCTTATACGTGCTTCCCAGGGCAACGTGTATTTAACCTGTCATAGCAGAGATAACTAAATGTCTTGTTGCTCCCCTGACTAAACATGTCTGTAGAGGAACCTGAAAAAAACACCTTTTTTAAGTCAGAAATTTAATAATATCCAAGATTAGTTCATGTTGGGCTAATATATTTGAAGACTGAACTTCAGGACAGATTAATAGCACATTCTCCAAGCCCTTTCATTCATAACTGACGTAGGAGGTTGACTTTTGAGCTTGAGGCCCAAACACAGAAAATTGTATTATACTGTCAGGCCCTGTGATGTGGCTGCCTTTGACCAAGTCCAGAATATCCCAGCAATTCCTCTTCAACTACTAAGCTTCAGTGATTGGAATAAAAAGTGCAGCTTCTGAGCCTCCCTCCCTATGGAAATGATTCTCAACCATTTTTAGATATTTACTATGTCCAGAGTGCTGAAAGACTTTGTAAACTTTCTCTCATCTAATATTTATTTTTCCTATGAACTGAGGTGGCTCTTTGTAGTTTTGTATACAAATAGATAAAAACAGAAAGTCCAAAAGCCTAGCTATGCCTTCTAGGTTTCAACTTCCTCCTCTTTAAACTCTGAGATATGCTCCAGTCAATGTAAATTAGCTAGAGGCTCAAGTCCCAGAGCAGAGTCCTTTGCCAATCGCCAAGGGCTGTTCAAGGCAGGGAGTCTTCCTGTGTCGCACTCAGTACAGAGGGCTCCATCCAGCAAAAGGCCTGAGCCTCAAGGATTTAAGTTCTAAAGGCCTGGCTGAGGCCTGGCTCCTCCTGAGCCTCTGCTGCTATCTCTTGCATCAGGAGCACTGCCAACCTCCTTGCTGCCCTGCCCTTACTCCAGCCTCTCTACCGTGGTCTCTTTGTGGCCACCCTCGTCAAAGGAGTTAGAGAATCAGTCCTTCTCTTTCCAAAAGGCTCCTGGAGTGCTTATTTAACTTGATCCACTCAAACTATGACCAGTCTGCAGAGGAAGGGTTGAGGCACCTCTACTAATTTACTTAAAGAAATGTAAGGTTTGCCTATAGCTATTTCTCCACACAGTGAGGCCTGTCTGGGGATGCTTCTGCGTAAGTAGGAGGGTCCTAAAGATCTCAAAAGCAAACAAGAGCGTGGGAAATTGTTTCTGCTTAAGAGCCCTGCTGCATCCCACTTTACAAATAAGGAAAAACGAGTCTCAGAGAGGTGAAATCACTTTCCCAAAGTCATTCAGTTTCTAGGTAGCACAGCCAGAATTACAACCAGGTCTGTCCAAATGTGACGAATAAACTGCCTCTGACTAGTTAAAATGGAAGAGTTAGCAGGAATCAAGATTTATATAATGCTATCTATGGCCATTAAGCAGAGTTTTCATGAATCTAAACCTTTGCTTCCCATCTCATCTGCCTCTTCCTACCTCACTGACTTATTTTTGCTCTACAAAAAGTGCAAGATATCTGTCTCTTGAGTCACCAGGCTTTGGATAGAATCCAAAGAGTTAGGTAAACTAGGAATGTATTGTTGCCCAGTGACCTCTGTTTATCAGAAAATTTAAAATGCCTACTAAGCAGCCTAGCTGCATACTTTTCAGCCTAATATACAAGGCCTCCACCTTTTGACTGTCAAACAGGCTCTGAAAATATTTTTCATCATTCGATGACAGGAAGTCTATATTCTTTTGCAACCAGTAACTGCCTAGTATTTGAATTATGATTTGTAAGGAACCTGGCACAGTTTAATATAATTTAAAAAGCATGGACTTTAAAGCTTTTCTGAATTTGAATCCTGACCCCCCACCCTTTACTACCTTCAAGAATTTAGGCAAGTTATTATCTGTGCCTCTTTTCTCCTCATATGTAAAATGAAAAATATAATACCTAATAAGAGTTTTGTGATGGTGTATGTATAGTACCTAGTTCATGGTGGGATTCAAATAAATTATAGTGGTAGTTTTAATTTTAATTCTATAAGTGCTCCATAGGATGACCCTGGGCTTCTTTAGAAGTTGTTCTAGGTTATGGGTTGCAGGTTTGATCCCCAGTCAGGGAACGTATATGAGACAACCCATTGATCTTCCACTCTCAAAAAAAAAAAAAAATTTGTTCTAGAATAGGCTGGCTAATGCTCAGCATTAGAATTTTGTCATTATTTAAATCAAGACTTGTCTACTGGAACCATAGGCTTCCACAACAGAACACCAAACAGGAAAACAGAATTTTTTTGCTGCTTGCTTCTTTAGCACCTTCTTCACCCCAGAACTAACGAGAGTGGGCCCTGGTCGGTGTGGCCCGGTTGGTTGGGTGGTCATCCTCCCATGCACTGAAGGACTGCTCGTTTGATTTTCGGTCAGGGCACTTGCCCAGGTTGTGGGCTTGATCTCTGGTAGGGAGCGTGCAGGAGGCAGCCAATTGATGTTTCCCTCTCACATCGATGTTTTCTCTCCCCTCCCTTCCCCTTTTTCAAAAAATTAATAAAAACATTTTTATAAAACAAAAACAAAACTAAAGAGAGTGTACATTATCTCACAGATCACATCGATGCATTCTCTCACAGGGCAAATGCATAGTTGCAATCAAGGACGATTAATGCAGACTTACCTTAAATGCAGAACAAACTCAGGAGCTCTGTCCCATTTAAATAGTTCACTATTTACATTAATTAAATTAACTATAAGACTTCCTCACAGTACAGCAAGTACTTTACTATTGTAATCAAATAAAACTAACAACAAGATTAATCTGATGCATATTTAATGATATATGTAATTATTGTGCTGCATGATAATTAGGCCTTAAATGCTAAGCTGTTTACATCAATGACTGTAATTGGTTGTCTTTACACAGCCAAACACATTTTTTTGGTGTTTGCTCACTTTATTAATTTTCTAGAATCTATAATCATGCCAAGGACAATAGTTTTCTCTGAAACCCTTCACTACTTTTTAAAAAATTTATCTTTATTGTTGAAAGAATTACAAATATCCCTGAAACCCTTTACTATTTAATCATGTGCTGACACACACAAATAAACTCTCGTCAAGCAAAGTTGACTGCTACCAATTCAGTGCCAACAGGAGTCCCCCAATCTGGGGTGTGGTGAAGGGAAAAACAGAAGGTGGGGTCCAGTGAAACAGCTCAAGCTAAGCTGCTTAAGCAAAGTAGTGAAATAGCCTGTGTTACAGCTCACATTACAGCCCACAGGTTGGGAAAATGCAGCAGAAACTGCACTCCAAGGAAGACAGGAGGATGGCTTAGACAGAAAGAGGTCCTGCCCCAGTCCCTGATTGGTCCATTTCTGTGCAAATGAGGACTTCAAATTCACACAGGGTTTTTGTTTGTTTGTTTGCTTGTTTGTTTTTAAATATGTCTTTATTGATTTCAGAGAGAAAGAGGAAGGGGGGAAGAGAGCACCAATGATGAGAGAGTCATTGATCGGCTGCCTCCTGCACACCCCCTGCTGGGGATTTAGCCAGCAACCCTGGGCATGTGCACTGACTGGAGTCCAACCGCAATATCCTGGATCATAGGTTGATGCTCAACCTCTGAGCCATGCCAGCTGGCAAATTCACACAGTTTTATTGGCCCAAATTGCACTGTTTTTTTTTGGCCAGCCCACACAGTCTGATTGGTTGTTGTGGAGCTGCTCTAATTGGTCAGTAAATATTCAAGAGCTCTGATTGGATGGGGAAGGTCTTAGTCCCATTGGTTGAAATACAATACCAGACCTTTCTTTATAAAGGTTGGCTCACCCCAGAGCACAGTGCAGGAGGCTTGGCAGCTCAGTGTTCAGCTTTTCCTATGCAGTATGCCAGAGAGACCTCTGTAAATAATGGCTATGAGGTTCTGGTTATGAATTTGCATGCAAGTAATCACAAGGAGCCCTTCTTGACAGATATTCTTTCTTGGGGTTGACACTCTTCAAAATGACAGCAGGAGGTCTCCTCCCTACCTGGTCCTGAAAATAGCTACTGCTCAAGGCTCTGTGTATATATTTCCTCATTTTAGTCCTTAAAAACCTTTTATGGGAGGTGGTGTTACCCCATTTTACAGATGTAAAAACTGATGGCCAGAGAGTGTAAGCAGGCAGCATAGTGGAGATTCAAACTTCTATTCCCAGCCTCTAACCATACTTTATACAACCTCAGGAGGTAATGGGTCCCAGCAGAGAGATATAAAGTTTTTTAAGGAAATCGAATGGCTCCTAAGAGATACAGAATATGTACATTAGCCCTCCCTTATCTGTGGTTTTGCTTTTCATGGTTTCAATTACCGGTGATCATCATGGTCCGAAAATATTAAGTGGAAAATTCCAGAAATAAACAATTCATGTTTTAAATTCCATGCTATGATGAAATCTCGCCCCATTTCACTCTGTCCCTCATGGGATATGACTTGTCCCTTTTTCCAGCATCTCCCAGCTGGGGGAGGGGGGGGAGAGATCACATTTACATAACTTTAATTACAGTATATTTTTATAATTGTTCTATTTATTAGTAGTTATTGTTGCTAATCTCTTACTGTACTTAATTTATAAATTAAACTTTATCATATGTATGTAGAGGAAAAAACAAATATAGTATTATATATATAGGGTTTAGTACTATCTGCGGTTTCAGGCATCCACCGGATGTCTTGGAACACATCCTACATGGATAAGGGGGACTACTGTATTCCTAAATACTAATCCTTTGTGAAACATGTTGCAGTCTACAGTGTATTTCTAATATAATATTCCTCAACATGCAGCTATACCCATAAATGGACAACTTTCAGGCTCTAAAGCTCTGGGAGTCCCATTGCTTCCAAGAATCTCTTTTCATATTGTCTTCTATGGCTACATTTAAAAAGCTATTGACACTTAGGTCTAAAAGTCCCACAAAACAGAACTATGTTGTAGGCCTAACAACATAGTACATGTCAATAACAATGTACTAATAACATTTTAAAAACAATACTTTCTAACCACAGTTGGTTGAATCTGTGGATGCAGAACACATGGATACAGAGAGGGACAACGGTGTAGAGCCAGGAATACAAGACTGTACAACTCAATTAAAAAACAACGAACAACCCAGTAGGAAAAAAGGGAGAGGTTATAAGCAAGCATGAGAAAACCTGAAGCAAGTGAATATATGGAAAGATGCTCAATTTCACTAGTAAGCAGGAAAATGCACTTAACAACAATTACATACTACTTTATAGCATCAGATTGGCAAAAATTTTAGTCTGAGATTTTCAAGTTAAGGAGGGTGTGGAATAAATAGAGACTCTTTGCTGCTGGGGCAATGTATTTAGTACAACCCCTTTGGAGAACCATATGTGATTTAGCAAAGTTGAACAGTGAATTCTACTCCTTGGCCTATGTCCTAGACATATACGTGTCTAAGAAAATTTATTATATTATAAATAAGTTAAACTGCTATCTGATATTATTGTGTATATAACTTATGTCTTCATATTCAGTGTTTCTTCTGGTGAGTGTTTGGTTCTTCTAGAGTAGAGGGCAATTAGGACTTTACCCTATAGTCTGCGCTGTTTATTCTTCTTTTTTAGTGCAGAAGGGAGCAATAGTGACCTGAGTAAATCCTGAGAGAGTCTTCTGGACATCATCTTATTTTATAGAGACCATGGCCCTACACCTCTGAACATATCCTTCTTCATCCTATTTTAAGTTTTAGAAAATAACATAAAAATAAGGGAAAAATTTGGCTGTTATGAATGATTTTTATTCCTTTAGGGCAGTTATACAGGCTTTTCATTTGTTTATTTGACATTTAGTAATTATTTTTGCCCACTTTTTTCAGAGGATGAAGTTAGCAACTTCAACCACCAGGTGGCGCAAATTCGCAAGAGTCTGGTGAAAGTAAATTACAGCCCAACGTGCGCCTGCCTGTTGCTACACTGCACCCCCTGAAGGAGGTGAGGTAGAAGAAAAAAGGCATTTAGGGCCTGAAACTTAAATATAGACATGGATCTAAGTTCCCTGGGAATGAAAATTAAGGGAAATTTTTAGTATTGGGTTACTGACAAGTCAAGTCACTGAATAAGGGAAAGAAAGAAGGAAAGGAAAAAGAAAAGTATTGGAATACAAAGAAAGAAGAGAAAGATGAGATAGAGAAATATGGAAAGATGCTCAACTTCACTAGTAAGCAGGAAAATGCACTTAAGAACAATAATGACAGGGCTCAGATGGTTGAAGCATTGTCCTGTACACCAAAAAGTTTGCGGGTTCAGTTCCCGGTCAGGGCACATACCTAGGTTGCAGGTTCTGTCCCATCGAGGCACATACAGGAGGCAACCGATCGATGTTTCTCTCTCACATCAATGTTTCTTTCTTTCCTCTCCCCCTAAAATCAATAAAACATATCCTCAGGTGAGGATTTTAAAAAAGGAATAAAAATTTAAAAAACAACATTTAAAAAAGTATGAGAGAAAAGCATATAAGTCTAGAGAGATGAATTCAAGTGTTACCAACAATTATAGGATGGCCCTTCATTGGTTTGCATCCACCTGTTTAACCAATAGCAGCTTTGATGTAAGAACAAAAGTTACTTCATTTTCTCCTGGAAAGTCAGTTATGATACCCTAGTAGTGTGATGTTACCAACATTTTTTGAACGTCTACTATGAACATAGTGCTTTGTTGGATACAAAGTAATATAGAGATATACACATGTAGATGTAGAGAACACATTACAACCTTCAAGCACAGGAACTAGGAAGTATACATAAAAAGATCAATGGCAACTCAGGGCAACATGGGGGCCATTGTATGAACTCAAAACTGAATCCTTTCTGAGGGTGGAGAGGAGGAGTGGAGGGAGGATCAGAGTGTGAGGGGAGGAGGAGCCATAAGACTCAACCTGTGCAGGGCAAAAAAAAAAAAAAAGGGTTCCTAGCGCCTAGCCATAAGTACTTATAGCAAGTCTTCCTTGGAAAACGGCTGGTTCTGGATGCACACATAGGAGAAGTGCTCCAGGTAAGAATCTGCTGGGGAGTGCTTAAAGAGGCTCCAAAACAACAAGGGGGGCGGCGGGGAGGGGGAGAACAATTAGGGCTAGAGCCACCTTAGGTCCCTCTGTGATTAGTAACCTCTTGCACTAGCCTGGGTGCATAGAAAAGGAGGGATGCTAATGGCCTACTGAGACCTTTCAGAGGTCCACTTTGGTTTTTTGAGAACACAGGTATATCTAAAAAGTGAAGAGGTGGCAAAACAGATATAAAATTATTGTATATTTTAAATTTATATTGAACAAGGCATGCTTTAACACACATACACACAGAGTCATTCAGCGATACCTTCAAAAGTTTAAATGGGAAATTTCTGTGAATGTGCCTTCTCTGCCCCTAAGCAGCTTCCTACCTTAATCTATGGAGCTATCAAAAAGTATTGGGATGATTTAGACCCCTAGAAAAGGTAGAGTGACTTCCGGTCCTTTCTACTCTTAAGACTTGAAAAAAACACGATACTTGGGCTAACTAGAAATACGGTAGTAATGTGTTAGCCATGGGGGGG